TCACAAACAATCACATTGTGCCTCAAGAAGACCAGAAAAATCAACCTGCTAACTATATGCGAACTTCTCACAACAGTAAATGAAGCATAAATTACAGTAAACTTTTAAAAAGAAAGCTAGATCTCGACGATCAGGTGATTTCGCTTGCCGAGTGGTACCGACTCTATATCTTATCGGAAGGCAAGTCAATAATGTACCTGAGGTTTATTAGCTTGTTGGATGAGCCGTACGGCTGCATGTTTGGTGCCTAATAGGGTTGGAAAAGTTATTTAATGTTACTGAACTATTTTGTATGGTGCAATGCTTTCAGGTGACCAGTGCTCCTCTTCTCCAGATTCGGCCAAGCTTGTTTGCCTGTGTGTGTTCTTATCCTAATAGGATCATTGCTTCTGGTCCCTTGAATCGATGACTTGACTCCTTTGGGACTACTTTGTATGGAATAAAACGTGAATAGAGTGGTTGAATCCAAATGATTGCTAATAAGTCCACAACAGACGTTTAATTTAACCACAGTGATTAGTTCATAATTAATCCGTTTGGGCTAATTTCAAGGAATGTGCTTCTATCCCATCCTGAACAGAACCTGAAATAAGGGAAATCAGTTTGCACGTCCCAAAGCACAGTGAAATATGAGAGCCAAAAGACGGGAATACCTCACAGCGCGGAGCTGAATATACTCGAATTCCGTCGATATTGACAATGGCATGTCATTTCTATTGCGTTGATAAACCTGGGAGTAGCGTCTATCGAAGACCGAATGGCAGCGTTTCGTAACTCCCTTTGTGTTTGCCAGTAAATATGAGGGTAAAATAGGGCTTCCATTGAAATGACGGAGCTAATGGAAAGTGCGACTTCAGGAGACCAGAACGATGGTTCTAACGGTCAGGAGAGCAAACTGTCCTCTGGTAGGTTGTATGACACCTGATTGAAACGGGCTAGTCAGTGATCGCATCAACTACTCCGATTAATTTGTTTGTGGTACCTGGATGAGACGCCATCGTTGTGTAAAAATCGATTTTTTATCCAACTGTCGCTCCCATCACAGAAAAGCATAATCATGAGAACATTCTTATGTACTTTTTATCCATAAATCATTTGATTGGAGGTACGGAAACCGGCTAGAATAAAATTTCGTGTAATCCATCAATTCTAAAATGTCTCTTCAAAATTTTGATGAGCAAGGCATGGACCGGATGCCTAGACAATGGCAGGTCAAGTCAGATAATATTGCTGTTGACTACATTTCATTCTGACAAAGCCCGGTCCTCAGTCATGTGCAAACCTATACTGCAGCTTAAATCTAGCCCTGTGATTATTTACTCAAAGCAAGCATTGACTCAAACAAATGTGTTTGCTTTGAATAATAAAATCATAGGCGTAAACTGACAGCATTTATCATCCTCTGTTGGATGGAGTGTTCATAATGTCACCGTTATCTCCTGATGCAGCTGATAAAGTTGTCAGCATAGTGAAAAATGTACATACTGTTTAAAACAATTTCGGAAAATCCTCAATCACAGCCAGAACTATTCATCATCTTTTCACTAGAAGCAAAGTGTGATAATGAATAGAATTTCTTAGATTCGCATGATTCGGATTCCCCTGTAGTTAAATAAAAAGCTACATACGTCTCTGAGAGTTTTAAAAAGGGTAAACATGTAGGTATGGTGAAAAAGAAACGTTATGTAAGTGAGTTATGTCCAGTTGTGAAACTCGTACTTACTTGAATTTCGGTTTGTCTACATTGTATAGCAATCGGCTTGGTCATTTTTGATCCAACGACTATTTAACTTTGTAGGGTTTCTGCTTATTTGCTTGAGTCCTTCATTGATTATATTTCCTAATGAATAAATCATAGTTAGCTTGTTGATATGTATATATCTTCTAGTCCCGAAGTCTGTCGAAGTACGCAGGTTGTAGTGATGTCAGAGGTGTCATCACTTCCTAGTTCCTACAACTAGCTTCGCTTAGTTTGTCCAGTAAATCCACATTTACTATACTGAAATTGCGCAATCATTCCGCTTAGGCGGCTACCACCTGCGTCAATTGCCAGGTTTACGACCTTAACCCACATCAGGTCATATTGTATTCAAATTTGTGCAACTGTCACACTGCACACAATGAATAGTTATGCGACTCGGCCCAACAGCACACATGCGCATAGGACAGGAAGTCAACCAAACTCCACAAGTCCACGGACAATTAAGGAGCACGTGTAGCAGCTATACTGCGGAGCAGACATGTCCCGTTTACGGACCTTCTCGTAGAAACTCTGACCACTGTTATGTTTTCCGTCATGGGCTGAAAATACTTTCGGAATGACTATCTTCCTGTATTTCCGCCCTCAAAATGAAGTCATTTACGTGTACCATGCATGCTTTGTTTCAATCAGAAACAAATGGTTCGGAGGAGCGTCTTGTCCACACATTCAATTTATGAGAATTGTTCTGGGAAAACGGGGGTGGAACACCTGAGCACATATTGTACGCCCTTAAAACTGCATTATACAAAGCGAATGCCTAGGAACCGGTAACAATATAAGGGTGCAAGCTCCGTTTTCAGCCAGGACATATGCTTCCGAAGAACATATTGGCATATTTTCATTTCCTCACATTAAAAACATCGGCAAAAAATTTCATCGTCGAGTGCTCAGTATATACTCACGAGTGCAAAGACTACGGTCATTCGATTAAGTAGCAATTGCTGTAACGTCATCTCTTTTTACCCAGCGTTTTCCCATGTCTTTTTGGCTCAAATCATGGCCGAGAAAACATGAGTGCCCATACACCACTCTTCCCAACCTATTGAGCTAGAGATGTATCAAATTATGGTGCGTAATTGGGGCTAAAATAATTATTACGATGTCAACAGAGTGGCCAACATTCACAAGAAAGATAGGCCTCAAACAAAGGGCACAACTGACGCTTGAGATTGATTTCGGGAATAACTGTTATAGTTGGGCCTTTGAATAGAAATGTGGGCGTAAACACACTGAAGACCGCAAATAAAACGGTACCATTGTAGCTTACCATTTGTGTCCCACGGTTGAGATGTAGCCCCGCAGTTATCCACAAAACAGCTCACGGGGATATTCAGACTTATTTTGCAAAACCAGTCTATGCGATCTGCGTAAAAGTGATCAGCTTCTTTACGATCGGACAAAAATGAAGTGATCAGCTCTTTCTTCAAGCAACTTCAGCTTCCCCTCATTCGTTTTCTGCATGCTGGTGTGTTCACCAGACGAGGAGAGCGTTTTACCAGAACATTTATGAACATGTTCCGTCCTGGCTGGCAAAAGACCAGCTCCTATACTCATCCACTATGTACAACAAACCAGTTTATTTCTCAGGATGTCCTTATGAAACTGTTAGCCTAACAAGGTTAGAGATGATGGATATCTTACGATTCGTGAACAAGGGAGCAAGTAACTGTTCCAATCAGTTAATCGCGGCACAAAGTTTGAGCTATTTTCTGGCGAATACAATTCACATGGTGAGTTCAGCCGCTGATCCTTGCTGAATTCCGGTCTCAGTGCTCCTGATTATCCCTGGAAGTAAGCTTTAAGTCAACTGTTTGCGAAATGTGTAAGGCAACATGCAATCAATTATGAATCACTTATTTACGAAGCATCTAATTGTACTTAATGAATAGGTAAGGCAAATTGTAGACCCTCTGTTTTGATGGCCACTACATAATCTACTTGCAACTCCGCGTCATTCAACGCACAATTTTTAGGCATCCAGCACTGAGGATCGTGGTCTTTCACTAACTCTAATACTGATAAGTTGTTCCCTCCCCATATGACTCTCGACTACCTCATTTCTTTGTGCGTTCTCAGGCGAACTATACAGCATCTTGCCTCAGTCGGAATCAGGTGCTAACCCTGAAAGCATAATCTGAAAGCCTGCTAGATTCGAAAGTCGTTGTCTGTTTAAAGATATCTGAACAAAGGGTGCAGCGAACAATACTGACTTTCCGTGACTATCACCAGTTAAACACAACATGAATTTGTCGTCTGAGGGGGGATCAGTAAATAACCGATGGATATAAACGGTGTGTATACGTATGTACATCTGCCGGTTGTTTACTAAACTCGTCTGGAGCGATGGCTTGCCGGTCTGTTTCAAATAATTACGAGCTGATTGAGAACGTGTATTCAAATGCAGATAACCAAATGTCGCGTGTGCTATAAGTCGTATGCAGTCGTTCTCGGGGTGGAGCAAAGCTCGTAGGTGGATGCCACGTTGTGTGTTGTATTCAGAACCACATGAATGGCCTTAGATGCAGGCAGTTGCTGAACAAACAGCGTTCTGACGTTTGAAAACGTCTGCCAAACATGGCCAAATAGTGGCGAAATATGCTCATTTGCATGCCACTTTTGTCGGAAGACTCAGCTGGAACGCAGCTGGATATCTCGTTTATGATATTCACTTGCTAGGGTTCAGGTGAGTCTTCCGTCAAGAATAAATTATGTGAATGAGTTCGTGAAATGTGGGTTCAGTTAGAAGATGAGGTTGACGGAAACTCTGGGACTGCGCCTACCTGATGAGCCCCAAGAAGAGCGAAACCGGTCGTGCGCTGTCGAAGTGCTTTCAATAAACTTATGGGTAATGTATTGCGTCTATACAATTGTCAACTATCGTTTTTCAAACTTCATAATATTCTCGATGATTCAAGGGTGTGAGACTGGAGTATGGAATAGAAAAAACAGGTGTAGCTGAAACAGCCTTTCGGCTCATGAGATTTTCAGGAATCACTGATGAATCCGTCAAAGCGGGTACAAAATAGGCTGGAATATATGAACCGCCAAAGTTGTGCGAATCCGGTCTATCACTGAAATCCTTCCTTGGTATATCTGACATTTCATATGATAATGAGGTCATATGATTTGCCGGCTTGCTAGGATAAGTAAGAAGAGAAGTGGTGACACTAAGTTCACTGGAAATTGTCATATTCAAAGAACCTAAACTGATCTCTCTGGATGTCTTTTTATTTTTCAGAACTGTGCGCCCAAATAAACCACGGATTGAGTCTGTGAGTTGACTGAGTATGGGGACACAGGCCCCGGTATCTCTGACTCAAACCAAACCAGCTGTTGCTGCTTGATGGAGTGTTCCACCAAGAAACTGTGTCATCTTGAGGTCCCCGCTTGGTCCGATAAATGAGTAAACTTGTTACATAGTCCAATTACATGATAGTTTACAATCTGTTGTGACTAAGTAGACAACATTTTATGGTGACATAAACCAATGCCAAAACTGTCGTTAGTTCCTGCCGCTAAGTTCATCCAGTATCCAGGTAGAATTTGTACACAAAAGGCAGTCAAATATCAGTAAGAAGCAGAAGGGAATTATTCAACGCAGTATAGAGAAACCATATACGGAATGGTTGATACCTTCATTTTTACAGTTATGTCCCACATAATCAGGAACGACACATAGATCAAGGTACAAATGAGAGTTGTCCATCACCGAAAAGAAACCTGCATATTGCACTCTTCTATTTAAAGGGGATTGAATTAAAGCATTTCCTAGGAGAGGACCGAGGCACATTGGTCACCTCACATATAACGTCACAAATTTATGCATGAGTTCCGGTTCTACCCATACCTTTAGGGAAAAATTCCTGAATTTCCCTTCAGCTTTCACGCGCATTCGTTCGCCTGCTTGTCGTGGGTAACCTATTTTAAACACACGGAAGACGCTTTCTGTTCGTGTCGTTGGAAAAGGAATCCTATCTCCAGCGCTATCACATCACACGTGGCCAAGAAGGACTACCTCAAATAGGAAGGAAGAAGGCATTTTCCCGTGTAATCTAGCCGTAAGCTTATGTTCACCTGCATGTAGGTTCGCAATATATTCATACTGATGACAATCGCAGAAACCAACCTCTTCTAACCGCCTTCACGAGCTCCCGGTTTCGTAGTATCCAACCTTCAGCCGGCATGGATCAGATGTCCAAATCATTTCAAGCTATATACAATGCCTCGTTGATCGTCCGCTCTTACCCTTCTTGGTAACAGCTTCGAAGGCTTAAATAGCACTGTTCACGTCTTAATGAAGACTGCTTCAAATCAAGTTAAATAATTCACTGGATATTTGCATAGACCTGAGTTGTTGTTAGATATCGCAGTGTTACCCACACATACTGGAGCAAGACAAGTCTGCTGATGAGTAAGAAACACGAACGTTTTAGACGAATGATTCTTCGTGTAAGCCAAATTTGTATTCAAATGAGTATAGTTCCCTAGAGTCTCCGGTACTTACAAATTGGATATCAGACTCCAATCGTATTTACTGTATAAAGCTCTCATCGGGATGAAAGTTTATAATTTTAAGCAAAGCCATCGAGTTAAACGGTTGAACTGGATTTATTGCACTGTTGAACAAGGGTCCCAAAAATACGTCTGGCTGTATCCTAAATGAAAGGGCATTCAAGTAACACTGTGGGGCCGAATATGAGCAGGACTAAACGCCAGGGAATACATGTTCAGGCAACTGCCACCAGTAAAATTACGAACAGCTTAAGAAAACGTCGGAAGATCATATGCACTCAAAAAGCAGCATGAAAATCACCGGTGATAACGATCCAACTACTCACTTTGAACCTTACTCTTCCGATGCTCAAGGTCTGGGGATATTCATGGGGAGTTGTATTATTGAGACAGTGTGCGATTACTTATGATAGTTAATTTGACCAATAGATAAACTTCCATGAAAGGTATTCGACAGGCATGATGACGATGGCCTCCAAAATAACGCATTGAGATTTCGATAATAGCAACGGTATCCCTAACGAATCAGCTGATAACAGGTAAGTTCTTGTTAGCAATTGTGGCCGCGTAAGTGATTTGTGCCTGGTTGTCTTGCCTCTCAAATCTCGAGGGTCAAAATGCTATCGGGACGTTCTTTTACAGACATTGAGTACGCGGACAATATTGCTCCATTTGGTTCAGTTGTTTCAAAAATAAAAATCATTTTAAACAAAACAAATTATCCTGCCGCACTCTTTGGCGTTCGTTTCACACCCGCATAGTGCGAAGTTTTTCCCCGGGACTGGGTGGGATCAAAGTAAAACCTCATGCCTGTAGATGAACCAATCGACGTGGCAGATACATTGTTTACTTGGGTAGTTGTATAAGCTCTGGTGGACTGGCTGGAGATGAGATTACTTCTCGAATCGGGAGTGCCAGGAAGGTCTTTCCAACCTCCCTAAGGAGTCGACGTGACATCAGTTTGTCTGTCAAGGCCAGTGTTTACACTGTGGTAGTGCGATGCATACCGCTTCATAGATCAGAGACGTGGCCTATACACACAGAGGAAATAGAAAAGTTATCAGTGTTTGAACACTCGTGTCCGCAAACCTTTAGTTGGGTCTGGTGAGAATATCGGATAAGAAACGCGAAACGGTTTTTCAAGAAAGACTTCTCCCACCACAGGTTGATTACTCACGCTTCATATGTTACTCTGGACATGTACTCCAAATACCATTGCATTATCTGCCTTGTAGAGCTTTCTTTCTCGCCGCTCTGTGCCGATGGGAAGCAAATAAGGGGTGTGATCTGTCAACGAAGTATAAAATCACTAAGCAGTAAGCCAAGTCATGTCAACAACTGCTGCCTCCCTGAATGGGCGCCCAGAAAGTCGTTAACTACACTGGAGAAAATGACCCAATCACGCAGTCACTGGCGCTCTTTCATAAAAGCCATCGACCTCAAAGAGTAGCTCTCCAGTTCCCGAACTAACTGAACATGCCGTCAGTTCCAAAGCTTGGCTGTATCTCCAATGCTCTCCCACTCAGGTGCTTTGAAATGTAGTAGCTGGAAACAATGTACCAATGGTAAATGGTTCATAGCTGACAAAATGATTGACAGGCTGATTGATTTGTGGCTTGATTGATCGATTGTTTGATTGGTTGATAAGTTGCCGCTTCTAGTTACGAAATGGGGTCATGGTATGCAGAACAGCCTACCTTAATTGAAAGCAACGCCGTAGCACAGGTAGCTTTCGGTGGATTACTGCTACATAGTTTAGTTAAGTCCTATACATCGGGGATTAGTGAATTTAACTTTCTTGCGGAATATTAAGAACGCATATGAGTGAGTCTCAGATATGTATTAGCCGTGCCTCTCGAGCAGTGCATTGTGTTTTCCCATGGTTCACCCCCAAGGCTCGAACTGTTCAAGGCTGATTTCAAAGGCCGACCGCATTTCTTGCTTTTTGGCATCTTAAAGCATGTGGATCATCCCAGACTTTGATAAGAAGTGATCTCGACAAGACTGCCGACTCATCCCCACATGTGCTGGACGATATTTCCAGCTGGTCACTAGCGAGGGAGATACTACTACTAATTGTCAAGCGTTGTGTTTTCCGTTGAAACTGAAGCCTGATGCAGAAAACTAATATGGTGGTCTGTCCACTGTCGACATCAGCTGAAAGGAATCTCATAATTATGATTACTCGGTGTGAAAAGATTTGTGTAAATGCCCCGAATAATGTAATCTGTCATGAGGTTATCCGTTCAGTCTCTCCGGTGGCAGTCGGACGCTTTCTGTAGTCCTCTTTTTTCAATTTTTCACCAATTCTAAACTATGGACAACATGTCTCATCCCCCACTTACTAACTTGGAGACCTGCGTTCTGAAGCAGATGCAGTGCAGTTCTCGAGAAGCCTCAGATGAAATGCCCGATTGCAGAGAATAAACGCCTTTCACCGGATCGCCGAGGTTGCTGTAGAGATCTTAAATACGCAAGCTCGACCTCAAGAAGAGAAGTCTTGACTAGAATTCAAGAGCTTATTGCCCTTAGCTGTGGGTAAGGGCTCATAATCTTAAGGCGTTCACTTCAAGTAATCCACTCTTCAGGAAACTGTTGTGTTTGCACTTACGTGACCCTATGACAATTTCGATCAAGCTAAACAACAACTGTGGTTCTATCGTCTATGCTTTTCTTAAGTGAACAGCTAAGGATTTGGAGTCGCTACTTTTCTGACGAGATTAAATCACTCTCGAATACTGACTAGAAGATAAAGATAACCGTGCGTTTTGGATTTAGATATTGTACGGATGAAGCTAAGTGGAAAATTTAAGGAGATTACAAACTTATCATGCGCCATACTGAATATCTGACAACTAAATCGTGTTAGTCGATCAGCATTGAATAAAACACTGAGAATCTACGCATAAGTGTAGATCTGCCTCGGGTTTACAGCAACACTACACGCTTTATAAGACAGAACTACGTCGAAATGCCTCTTGTATGGAGACAGACGGGGAATGTCACCAATGCGTTTCACCAAGATCAGACGATCAGATGAGGCGCTGTATCATTTCTTATCACACTCTTCTGGATGCGAACAAATTGTCCCACCTTGCTCACAGGGAATTAAAACTGGCCAACAGTAATCGCCCGCACAAGTCCTAGTCAATAAAATCAATGTAGCAACACTCCAACACCCTTTCCACGAATAATATGCCTTTTAACGCGCAGATTTGGTAAGATGCCTGCCTACTGAGTTAAACAGTGTTGTTGAGCGTTCACATAGGTTTAAATAAGTGCTACAACGTTAGGATTTGAGTGCTTCAACTTAAACGTCTTGATAGGTCAAAATAATACTTCAGTCGGCTTGTACTGTGTGGGGAGCAGAAATTTCCTGAAACAATGTGTCTGTTATGGAATCACTCGTTCCAAGTAATGCGCAACCATGTTCAATAATGGTGTATCTAGATAAAGGTGAACGTCAATTGCTCGTTCATGTTGGGCTTTTAAAAATTAAGCAGACATACTGATGATCACCTGGCATGAAAAAGCTTTTTGCGAACTAGACGCCGAGAATGAGTGAATGATCAAGCGTTTTGTCGCGATTGTCTGATTGCTGAGACTGATAAGCAATAATGATATCGTAGCCAGATGATCGTTGATGAAAAGCCGGAATGATCAGGATTTCATAATGGTTTTGGTGATTCTATTGTTCTGTTTTCGATAGCACAATGATTTCACAAGCAAATTGTCAGCCCGAACATTTGTATTGGCTATG